ACTGGAGTTGCATAATAAGGCTCCTGAGGCCTAGGTAGAGCTGGAATACCACTGGCTGCTGGAAGAGCTGAATGAACGGGGAGACTCATATGACCCCTACCATGACGACCTGCAGCCGGGGCACAGGCACCAGAATAATGGCCCGACTCTCAAGACCTCTTGGCCTCTCTCTCCTCTCTATCCCTAGCATACATACCCTCAATCCTCCTAGCAATTCTCACCACCTACTGATACGAAATATCAATCTCTAACTCACGAGCCATGCTAGAGCTGATGCTGGGAATAAGCCCCTCAATAAACCGACAAACCTTCTCGCGAACCGTAAAGACCAAAGCTGGTGCATGTCTAGCCAAGTCGATGTAACGGACATCATACTCCGAGACGATCATAGTACCCTGGCGCAAATGCTCAAACTCCGCGCGCCAGGAATCCCTAAGACTCTAGGGAACATACTCCCTCGTGAACATATCTGAAAACTGAGCCCGAGTCAGGAAAGCTGCCTCATCCGGACTGTCTAACTTATAAGCATGCCACCATTGATAGGCCGCTCCTCGAAGCTGGAAGGTAGTGAAGGAAACCCCGCTCGATCCTGAAATGCCCATAGTACGGAGGATATGGTAGCACTCCTCAAGAAATCCAAGGGCATCCTTTGAGGCTAGCCCGCTAAAAGTCGGAGGCTGATACTTCTTGAACCTCTCAAGCCTACTCTGCTCCTCCTCTCAAACTACTGCCCTCTCCTCGGGTTGAGTTGGGGCTACCGGCTGTACAGAAATAGCCTCTGGGACCTGATCAACATGCACTCGCTGCTCAGGAGTGCGGGCGGTAGGAGTCTGTGCTCCTCCCCCGGCTTGGGATGTAGTTGCAGCAAGGGGAAGCAACCCTGCCTGACCTAGAGTGGTGTATGTGGTCATAAGCTGCGCTAGAGTCTCCTGGAGTGCTGGAGTAGTAGTAGCAGACGTATCAGGTGTCTAGACTCCGGCTGGTACTGCTGGTGGCACCTCGGTGGCAGCTCGCGCGGGTGCTCTAGATGCACCATGAGCGCGTCCTCGGCCTCTACCCCGGCCCCGGCCCCTGACGGCTCCAGTAGGGGGCGCGGTGCCTGAACATCTCGAGTAGCACATGTCCTCACCATCTGTTAGAGAATAGAAGACAGAAGTTTAGAATTGTGATATCAAAAATCTCGCATGACAAGGAAATCAAACGAAGTGGAATTTTCCTAACAGTTACATAGCCTCTCGTAAATAAGTACAGACGTCTCCGTACTGATCAGTGAGACTCTAATAAACCGACTTGTGATTCATGACTCCTATGAACCTAGAGCTCTGATACAAACTTGTCACGACCCCGTTCGCCCTCCGTGAACCATCATGATGGCACCTAGTCTCTATGACTAGGTAAGCCTAAAATGTGGAAAATAAACCAATTTGCGGAAGAAGCAAGTTAAAACAAAGATAGAGTAGTAAAACAACGTTTAAAAGTGCCGCTTGGCATACACAATGTTAACTCTCAAAAACTAATACATATTCCCAAAACCAGGAAACCCATGAATCACAAGCTAAGAATACTACATAGTGTTCTAACTCCAGAATGTCTAAACAAAGTAAATACCGAAGGGCTGTAACTACAAGGGAGAATAGAGAGAGACTTTTCGATCTGCAGACGCGACAGATATACCTTGAAGTCTCCAAAAGATCGCCTCGCCTCAAGGATGGTAAGTCTGAGTAGAGGTACCTGGATCTGCACATGAAAAAGATGCGCAGGAAGGGCATGAGTACACCACAGCGGTACTCAGTAAGTGCCAAGCCTAACCTCGATTGGGTAGTGACAAGGAAGGTCAGGGCCCTACTGAGATTAAATATAATATAAGTTCGATAGTGTAAAACAGAGCAATATAAATGAGTGCAGCAGTAAGGGCAATACAGGATGTAAAGAAACAGAAAACAAGTGATCACGGTAAACAAATATAGTTCAACGCATAGATAACAACCGGGGTATCTCCCAGGATACCGTCCTGTAGTCCCCAAATATAATATCTGGTGGATCTCTCGGGTGCAGTCCCGTAGTCCAACTCATAAACGTGCAGGGGGATCTCCCTGAATACAAGTCCGTAGTCCCAAATAAAACTACTCAGTACTGGGGAATCTATCGGGTGCAATCCCGTAGTTCCAATGTAAAAGTGCAGGGGGATCTCCCGGAATACCAATCCGTAGTCCCAAAGTAAACATACAGGGGAGCTCCCGGGATACCGTCCTGTAGTCCCAAAATAAATACACAGCAGCAACAAGATACCCAAATCAATCAATTTTACACCAAGGTAAAGCAGGTATTTCTAACCTAGCATGTTGCACATAATTCAATTAGGACGGTAGAGCAAATAAGAAGTTAAATCAATTAGACATGCTCTCCTAAGCTAATAACAGGCTTAACTTGTAAGTAATGGAAAGGAAAACAACAAATTCAAAGCTCTTAACGGAAGCCGAATTTTTCAACAATTAGCACAAGTACGCACTCGTCACCTTATATGCAAGGCATTTCAATTAATTAAAACACCAATCCTAAGGGGAAGGTCGCCCACACAAGGTTAGGCAGGCCACTTACCTCGGACCAGCTCAATAATCAACCCGAAATCACATTCTTTCCACGAGTATTCGACTCCAAATGGCCCAAATCTATTCAATTAAATTGCATAATGTAAATAATACTTCAAGAAACTAATTCTCTAAATAAATTCAAAGCTAATACGAAATTAGGTGAAATAACCCAAAACGCCCCTCAGGCCAACGTCTCGAAATCGGGCGAAATTTACATTTTCAGAATCCTCATATTCTCGCGAGTCTATACATAACAAAAACACTAAAATCGGAGTTCAATTGACCCCTCAAATACCTCTTTTAAGGTCTCTTAATCTCAAGCCCTAATCACCCATTTTTTTCCCAAATTTTCCTCCACTAAATGGGTCTTTAATCACGTAAAAACGAGTTATGAAGTCAAAAATGTTACCTCCAAGTGATTTCCCTTGAATCCCTCTTCAATCCTCTTCACAAAGCTCAAAAAACGACCAACAATGGAAGAAATAAACCCCAAAATCGCGGACAAAACGACTATTTAAAACATTTTGCCCAGGCCTGAAATCCTTGTTCGCAAACCAGTCAAAGCCTCGCGTTCGCGGAGCACAAAATAACTTTGACCAAATTTCCTCTTTCGCGATCGCGACCTTCCAATTGCTAACGCGATGTTTTACTCAGACCATCCTTCGCGATCGCAGTCCCCCTCTCGCGAACGCGTTGAATAAATACCTCAAACCCAGCTGAACATTTTTCTTCTACGCGAACGGGGTCCACCTCACACGAGCGCGATGACGAAACGCCCAGCCCTTCGCGAACGCATATCCTTCCTCGCGAACGCGAAGGCTTAAATCCCAGCTTCATCAGATGACCCTTCGCGAACGCGAGGACCAACTCGCGAATGCGAAGATCATTTCTCTGCAACACTGATCTGCAATTTTCTGCAACCCCAAACATCATGAAATGGTCCGATTGACCACCAAAAACTCACACGAGGCCCCCGGGACCCCAACCAAACATACCAACATATCCCATAACCTCATTCAAACTTGTTCCAACCTTTGAAACGCTCAAAACACCAAATTCGCATAGGATTAAAGCCTAAGAACTCCAAAATCTTCTAAATTACATTTTCGATCAAAAACCCAACCAAACCACATCCGAATGACCTAAAATTTTGCACGCACATCCCAAATGACACAACGGAACTACTACAACTCTTGGAATTTCATTCTGACCCTCAGATTAAATCTCACTATCGAACCGGAAACTTCAAAAATCCAACTTTCTGCATTTCAAGCCTTAATTAGCTACGGACCTCCAAAACACAATTCGATCACGCCCCTAAGCCCGAAATCATCAAACGAAGCTAACGGAACCATCAGAATCCCATTCTGAGGCCGTCTTCACACTGTTCCGACTACGACTAAATTTTCAGCACTTAAGCTCTCATTTAGGACTAAGTGTCCCAAAGCTCTCCGAAATTCAAAACCGAACAACCCGACAATTCAAAATAGCATAAATAAACACGGGAAAAGCAGTTAATAGGGGATCGGGGCGTAAATTCTAAAAACAACCGGCCGGGTCGTTACACTATGCATGACACAACATTCATATGCACGTGCATGACACTATAAATGTTGCAGAATTTACAAAGTTATTCAGACTTTCAGGTGGATTTCTGTATTCCATGATTAATCAATGTCTTCTATGTACTTATTTTCACGCCTTACATACTCAATACATTATTCGTACTGACGCCCTATTTCTCGGGGCCTCCATTTCATGCCCGCAGGTGCACGTAGGCAAGCTGAAGGTCCCCCTTCTTAGGATCCTTGGTCAGCGAGAGATGGCGTGCTCCACTTGATCCGGAGCTGCTTTTGATATATATATATGGGTATGACGTGGCTCATTCCCGTCTTTGTACAGTTGTATTTCTATTAGAGGTCTGTAGAGAGTATGTCTAGTTCGATTGTATGCAGCCTTGTCGGTTCGCCCTATGTATGTTGCACGTATATGTACATATGCCTTTTGGGCAGGTTTTCTTCATGCATGTTATTCTCGTAATTCAGAAGAAGTTATTCAGGTTTATATCTTAGACGCATGCTTAGGGGTGTTTGACAGGTAGGACTCGGGCACCCGTTGCGGCCCATCGGTTTGGGTCGTGGCAATTTTAATGGAGGTTTTACCTGGGTTTTGGAGCTTGTTTTTTGCTGGTTTCCTACAGCTGCTATTACTGTACTTTGGGGGTGTTTAAAATGTTATGATATGGAGAAAAAGTGGTGGAAACAGGGTGCTTCAAGACTGTATTTTATGGTTTAAAATTGGATAACAATAGTACCTAATTAAGGAGAAAATGGAGGTGTTTGGGTGGTGGATTTGCTACATGGTCTTGTGATTGAGTTTAATGTGAAACTTCCATGTATTTCTCTTCAGGAAGAAGAGGCAGGGACGGTTGTTTTCGGTGAAGATGAAAGGGGAAGGCTGCTTCGTTTTGCTTTTTCGAGTTTTGTTTCTCTCCAGATCTATCTTATCTATTTGTATTCTTTTCTAAGGTGTGAATTCCTCTCCAGGAAATGAGTGCACAGCTCGTTTTGTGCAAGAGTGTGACATATATAGTGTGAGCATGTGAAGTTTGTTACAAAAGATATGGAAGAATCTTGCTAGGTGGCATTTTTGCAGTAATTCTTTTTTTTTATTAAAGATAATCAAAATTAATGGTACTACACTAAAACTAATAACTAGAAAAATAAAAGAAACTATTAAAAAAAAGTTATAAAATTGCTAGTCTTACCAAAATTAGAAGAAAGTGAATTTCTTTTCTTTTGCAAAGTTAAACAAAGCTAGTAATACAAAAATGTGTATCTTATGTTAGTTTTAATTTCAAAGAATATTTACATACTAAAAAGTGGTGAAAATCCGATTATGGTCAAAAATTAGGTGCTCACAGGTTCTACTCAAAGTTTCACCCATGAAGGGTGTGATGAGGTTCGGAAATAAGGGCATGTTGAGCCCTCAACATATTGGTCTATTTGAGGTCTTGGAAAGGGTGGGTGAGGTGGCTTACAGACCTGGCTTGCCACCTAGTTTATCAGGAGTTCAGTCGAGGGGTCAACCAGTCGAGTAGGCAACTTGGGAGATCAAGCATGATAAGCAGAGTAGATACCCTCACCTTTTCGGCACTTCAGGTATGATTCCAGACTCGTTTGAGGACGAACGTTTATTTAAGAGGGGGAGAATGTAACAACCCAAACCCGTTTTCCATATTTGATGCTTTACATATGCGCATTTGTTGTTATCTGACTTGCGGGGGTGGTTGTTTTGGTTTCGGAGAAGTTTTAGATTGAATTGGGACACTTAGTTTCAAAGTTAGAAGCTTAAGGTGTGAAGGTTGACCGAAGTTCGGCTTTTATGTAGACAACTCCGGAATGGCATTTTGATGGTTCCTATAGGTCTATATTGTAATTTTTCACTTGGGTGTATGTCTGGATTTAGATTTAGAGATTTCTAGATTGTTTTGGCTTGAATTGGCGAAAGTTATAAATTTGAAGGTTTGGAAGGTTCATATGTTTGACCAGGAGTTGACTTTATTGATATCAGGTTCGGATTGTGTTTTCGAGAGTGGGAACAGGTCCGTTGTGTCATTTGGGACTTATACGCAAAATTTGAGGTCATTCTAAGTTGATTAGAAGTGGTTCTACATGAGTTTTGGAATGTTGGAAGTTGGTTAGTTCCTTACGCTTGAGTTGAGGTGTGATTCGTGGTTTTGATGTCATTTTATTCGATTTGATGCCTCGAGTAGGTTCGTGTTATCTTTTGGATTGGTTGGTGATTGGATGGGGTCCCGGGGGTCGCAGGTGTGTTTCGGATGAATTGCAGATCATTTTCATGTTTTTGGGCAGTCTTGTTCTAGTGTTACGCACATGCGAGGTGTTTGCCGCATGTGCAAGTTCGCAAAAGAGGACCTGGTACTGGAGATGTGGTGCATGGTTGGAAAGGCTAGGTTCGTAGTTGCGGCATTGTGAGCACTGATGCGTCTGCGCAGAAGCGATGGATCTTCCACAGAAGTGGATGCGCAGACGCGATTGGAGGACCGCAGATGTGGTTGGTCGAGGGAATAAATAATTCTCGCATCTGCGATGGTTTTTTCGCAAATGCGTACTGTAAAATGGTATTTGGGTCGGCAAATGCGGAATTGCTGGGCAGATTTTATCTTTCGATGGTTTTTGTTATTTCTCATTATTGAAGTTTTTGAACTCGGCTAGGGGCGATTCTTGGAGGGTTTATCACTACAATTGAAGTAGTAAGTAAACTCTACTTGATTTTGATGTTAGATATTGATTTCGTATGGATTATTAGACCTAGTTTATGTGAATCAAAGGAGGAATTTGGGGTTTTTTTTCTATGGCTTTTGGAGAGTGAAATTGGTGATTTGGCGGTCGATTTGAGATTAGATTTGGATAAAACACATATATTTGGACACATATTGGAATGGGTATTCGTGATTTGTAAGTTCTGTTGGATTTCAGCATGCGAGCCCAAGGTTGTCTTTGTATATTTGTATCAACATCATAGCTTTATTTTTTGGGGTTATTTCCTGTAGCTTATATTGATGTTATTAAGTTATTTTGGCTAGATTCGAGCTGTCCGGAGGTTGATTCACGTGGGAAGGGATTTCTAAAGTATTGATTTGGCTTACTTGAGGTCAGTATCTTACCTAAACTTGGTTGAGGCACTAGTTGCCTGAGTTATTAGTGTTAGCTTCGCGCTATGGGTGGCACACATGTGAGGGGATTGAGCCCATGTACGTGCACTGGGGTATTATCCGTGCTCGGGGTAGTGATTAGGCTATTATATGTCCTGAATTGATTGCTAAGCTTCATGTTATCATGCTTCTTATGTTGTACCCCTTTGTGAGCAAATTGAATCATGTTAAAAATTATTTGTCGGTTCATCACTTGTGTCACGCCCCAAACCTGCGGAGACGTGGCTGGCACCCGGTGCCGAGCTAACCCGAGCGAACCACTTTGTAACTCATGATCATTCGACCAAAACTAGAACATACATAGGTCGAGTTGGCTGAACTCATTCCTTTTGTTACTACATGGGCCAACATGGCCACAACTCATAATGTACAACTGTAAGTGGGCAAACACTGTATCAATGAACCATCGTTCTTAATCATGAATACATATAGGCCGTCAAGGCCTCTGACATACTATACAAAATGAACCTCTGTCTACAAAGCCTATAAGATTATTTGACATCAAATGTGACAGGGTACCGGCCTACCCCTAAGTCTGTAGCGAAATTCTGACACGATGACTCATAGACTCGGCTGCACTCCGCGTGAGGTGGAGTCTTATCGATCCTTCGCCGAATGCCAATCTCGTCTACATTGAGGGCTCGTCAAACTGATTATCTATACCCGCAGGCATGAATGCAACATCCCCAACAAAAGGACATCGGTACGAATAATATACTGAGTATGTAAGGCAGAACTAAAACATAACAATAAGTCAGCATTAATTAGAGACATGTAAGAATCAACACGAATCTCTGAAGGGCCACCGTAATAAATACTTATTATACTCATATATATACAATGCTTGTCTTTGAGACTATTATCCAAATTGTATGATGCATGGCTGCCCAACTGATCAGTGGTAACTGCCCCACCAGCCGTAGAACGGTGGTAAATAAAAATGCATGACTGCCCGAACGGTGGTAAATAATAATACACAACTGCCCAACCCGTGGTAACTGCCCGACCGACCATAGCTTGGTGGTAAATGCATGTGCATGAAGATGCATGTATTACTATATTATAAACATTAACATCTTTATCATATGCCTCAATAGGGAACTAGAAACATACTTAGATATGCTTGAATATCGTTTTACAGGAATGAATAACGTAGACATCCTTAGCTGCTAAGAGTAGATACACTTATGAAATAGCATTACGTTTACGTATCGTTGCTTGGATCATGCCAAAAAAGAAAGAAGGGATAGCCTTAACATACCTTAATTGCTCATAAGAGCTCTAGAAGGTCGTTGATGAAGAATTATACTTGAATCACATTCAAAAGAATTAGTCATTAACCCAAGAGATGCAAAACGTTGTGAAGTATAAAATGCGAAGGATGAACCTGTATTTTTTTTGTGAAAATAAGCAATTCAATATCTGGTTAGACTTTGGACATGTTCGAATATGTGAAGAGTCCTCTACATCATAATCACATTGTTCGCATTTTGGTGAGTCGATTATCACCCAAAGAAGTATAAATATTGTATGTTATAAGTATATCCTCAAAAGTGAATGGAAGAAAAAGAAATAAATTTTATATTTCATTGTTTTACCTACTGCCACCGTCACTATCCCTCCCCCAATTTGATTCATGCCACATATTTAACTAGATTTATTAATCATTTAGTTAATCCTATATGGTTTCCACGGGTGGGGAGGGGGGATCAATAATCCAAAATTTGATAATTAACTAACTAATCTTGCACAAAAATCATTAATTAACCAATTATCCACATAATTAAGAATTATCCCATATTACTTTAAAAAATAGTAATAATGATAACTATCCAAAATTATACTTGTAAAACTTTTACTAAAATAATCCACTTAAAAGAAAATACCACACAAACATATTATCTAACAGTATCAAGGTCGTTAAACTTACGGGGTTGTATAATAACATAGTCACACATCCTCTATAACCTCATAAATGGTCTCAATCCCTTCAAGCTCATATGTGTCACGACCCCAAAACCGACACGGTTGTGATGGCACCTATCATGAAACTAGGCCAGCTGACATATTCCCAAAATAGTTCAACATTCCATTTAAAGCTTAAACAATACCATTTCCAACCGAAATTCCACAAAAGATATAAAGTCAAAACCAAAAATAAAAGCGGAAAATAAAAGCCTGACCTCGGGTGTCACTAAGTCATGAACAATACTACATTTGTTCCGAAACACAACTAGACTGAAATATCCAAAATATACTAGAAGGAATATAAAGAAGGAGGAAGTCGGGACTGGGAACGTCAAGCAGCTACCTCGTTATCTCCGGCGAAATTAGCGTCTGGAACAGTCAACAGCCGCTACCGTGGCCTGAGATACCTGGATATGCACACAAGGTGCAGGGGGTAACATGAGTACACCAACTCAGTAAGTAACAAGTCCAAACAATGGACTCATAGGTAGTGATGAACTAAACCTCAACAGGTAACAAAATTAAACTGTACAGTAAAGTAGGCATGCTTGCAGTTCAAGTATTCAGCTCAACAGTAAGTACATACAAATCTGAACATTGTGAAGTATAAAGTTCAGCAAATCTCTACGTACGAATGCACAAAAAGCATGAAAATGTACCATGTACCTCTACTCTCAAGTGTTCAACCACTCAGTACTATATATGGCCATCTGGCCAGGGAAGATCCATCCCGGAATATATACACATCACTGACAACAGTCATCCAGTACCGATGAAAGGCATTCCAGCCCTATGGAGAAGATCCATCTCCAGGTATAAGTACCTCGAACAAGATCCATGTCCAGGG